CTCTCTAGGCTTCTGACACCTACGATCTCTCTCAGGGCAACAGTTTCAGGCCTCTACCTGTGAGGCTTCTTCACACTACCAGTAGAGGGCGCACTCTCCCAGGCAGTTTAGGTGGCCAGCTGTTTCTTGGGCGACTTTTTATACCTGTGGATTTACAGGCAGTCTGCATTTGTGACTCGAGTCTCTTTGTCTGAAAATCGAGCGATCACAAACGCCTCTTCTTTCCGAGCAGCCAACTTCCACACTTCGCTACGTCATTTGCTAAACCAGGTTTAAAAAACTTCATGTGGCGTAAAAAGGGATGAAAATGAGTGTGGTACCCAATTAACCACACCCCTCCGAACATGAGGTGTGTGTGTGAAGATAGTGCTCTTCCTCAGGTTGGGACCGGGTGCGTTCAGGTGCTTTACAGTGTGGTATGAGACAGAAAAAAAAGTTTATTTGGTTCCACCAAATAAACCAGTCTAATTAAATATTTTCCGTTTGACTTAATTTTGCCTCCCACCCTTCCCCTATTATTATTTTTAAAACATATGCAATCTGACTACGCCAATAAAGGTGAGGAAACCTTTTAACCTGGTCCAGATTAGCAAAAAATAAAACGCGTTCTTTTTATTCTGCAGTGCCAGACTAATTCACAGGCAAGACACCAACATGACTTAATTAGGCATTTATTAAATTCGGACAGAACAGTGACACCAAACAACCCCAGCCTCATTAGGTGAATGGCTGAACATTAGCTTCAAGGACTACAAAATCACCCCTGAATACGAAGTATTCACTGTAAATAAGATAGTGAAACAACCCACTCTCTCCGCTTCTAAAATGCCACCCACAACAAATAAAACCCAAGCAATAAGTTACAAACCTCGACCACTAACAATTCGTCTACAGAAAAAAAAACTAAATAATTAAAATTGTTTAAAAAATACACAATAACGAGCATTTAATGTAGTTCATGTGGGTAGCTGTGTTAGCATGCGTAGGCTGCAAAGGAAAAAGTAATAGGTTTTTTTCCATGCTGAAAAGAGAAGAAAGAAAACAGGGATTCAGGGATCACACCTGAAGAAGGCTCCACAGCCGAAACGTTGTGTTTTCTTTCTTCTCTCTTCACACGAAATAAACCTATTACTTGTTCCATTAAAAATATGGTGATTTCAACTTCCGTACAAGAGAAAAAAGATACACGAAATGACTCAAAAGGGACTATTAATCACAGAGAACCAGAGCTGGGAGGAAAGTAAGTTTGTAAGACATCACAATTCAAATCTCTTGACAACCCGCTTTAATACTCAAACTAAGCGGGAAGAAAACAAAACTCAACAATACTGTACATTAGGGTGGTTTGGAACAGATCAAGTAACAGATTAAGTTTGTATAACATAAACGTTGAAAAGATTACTCAGTGAAACCGCCTTTAAATTCCAAGGAGCTGAGAAGGCGGAAACGCTACTGCGCCATCATAGCATGTTTATGTCCATTTATTATAGTAAGTAACGGTTTATTTTGAATACACATCTGTGTCAGCGATGGGCTGGCGTCCTGTTCTGTCCAAGGGTTACAGTACTGCCTTCCGCCCGCTGCTTGCCGAGATAGGCTCCGACTCACCGGAGACCCTGTATTGCATAAACCGGTTAGAAAATGGATGGATGTTCACACATTTAAAGCACCAAAAAAGTAGACCAAGGCAAATGTAAAATTAGGTGCTATGGAGATGTCTTAAAATAAACTGACAGTTCAAAGATAACAAGAGAATTATCATTAGAACAATTTCTTTGGATAAGGCATGATTAATATTAACTCAAGATTTGATCTAGATCTTAAACATGCTAATCATTGTTTTGAGAATATTTTTGAAGATTTCTTCTTGCCTTTCATCATCAACGTTCAGGCAGGCCATCCCAGCGGGTTAATCCACGTAGTGGTGGTGATATGTAATATTTGCAGTGTTATATAATTGTGCAGCATTAGATACGTGAAGGTTAAGATTAGGGTGCAGCAGTGATACTCGCACACCAGAACATCGAGAAAAGAGACAACTGGGCTTTTTCACAGCGGAAACCATACATTGGCCAATATGAGGAATATCACATTACTGATGTCTGAATTATTGTCTGTATTCCCCACTAAACTAAACGTTTTCATTGCAGGCATTGAACACGCGATGGCGACAGACACCATTGGCGTTAAATAAAATCAGTTTGAGTCCAGGCTGACCTTTTTGCATTTCATTTTTTTTAACTGGAGCGATTCCTATTTCTCGATTTTTTTTCTGCCAAATTTGTGAAATTCCATTAAACCCCATACCGTTTGATAATGTAGTAGACTAATCTTTAAAGAATAGCAGAGGCTGACATACGGCAATAGCCAGAAATGATGGTAATGTTGTTAAAACCTTTGAACTATGTTACAGGTCAAATGCAAAACTATATTTTTAGAGTGTGCAGATTCATTGGTTACAGTGGAAGGTGATAGTGACAACAGAAGGTATACAGGAATAAAGACATGCTGTTTTAAAAAAAAGTCCATACCTCTAACCTCAGGTTTATATTATTCTCCCATCCTTTCAGATGTCCATAACAAAGTTTGCAAATGGAAGGAGACAGCTTGTTCCAAACCCCCACATACCTTTGTGTAAAGAAGTACAGTAACTCTTTTGCTCAGTATTAAATGCACTTCTCTATAGTTTCAAACTGGGTTCTCCCGAGTTCATGTTGTCAATGTCTTTGAATAATTAAACAAGTTCCCCTTCCTCAGGATTAAAAGATGCAGGTCTTTTGAGGTTTTCAGAGTGGGATACTTCTTCGAGCTCAGGAATATGTACCCCATCATTCTTCTCTGGAGAGCTGCAATTTTTTATGACAATAATAGTACCCTGGATTTAAAATAAGGCCTTTCTAGCACATTGTACAGTTTTAACATAACCTCCTTTGATTTCAATTGTGTACTTATAAGCTGATATGTTTTCCACATTTCCTTGAAGATTAATATGATGCATCAGGCAAGACTCCTTACATTATAAATATAAAATGGGAGAAGCTGTGTTAC